GCTCATAATGTGACACCTCAAGCTAGCAAATTTCTCCTCAATTCCACTAACAAATGCTCACGGCATTTGCATTAAGAAAATGCATTCCAATTGAATCTTATGAGAAAATGCATACGGCTTACTATATGTAAGCATGCTTAATTATTAATTAAGCATAATTGAATGCCTAATTATTTAATTAAGCATAATACTTAATTACCAAAATTATTCCGAACGTACACGTGACGTCGAAAATAATTCCGGATAATCTTGACTGAAAATAATTAATTCGAACTATAATCATTTCGAATTCTTGACTTGGACGATTAATCCGAATATCAATATTTCGAATAATTCGTCAACTTAACTTATTAATTCCGAACTCATTAATTAATAAACGAATTGGAATTAAATCTGAAAACTTATTCGGTTACTGAAATAATTAAACCGAATAATTTATCAACTAATAGTCGAACTTGGAATATAACTAGCTGATTAACTTGAACTTGAACATGAACATGATTATTTATTAACAAAGGCTAGCTTAAAATTAAAAGCTAGTATTTTCCTTCATTAATAAAACTCGGGGTGTTACAAACCACCCTCCTTAAAATATTTCCGTCCTCGAGGCTCGGTGATGGTAGTAACATCAAGCTATGGAAATACTAATACTGGACGTACAAGCTTAACATAAAGCTTATACTTACTGATTACATGACTTGAGAATTCAATACTTTAATACTGAATAATGGATTTGATCTGAACTGAGGAGTCATCAATTCATAATTAAGTGAATTGTTAGATATTGTTGATTGAGAATGGTCACTTTCCTGAAATAAAGTGTTCAATTGATTATACATGATCTCAAAACGAAATTCTTGAGCGTACTGGTCATCATCTCCTGGCTGATTGCTGATCTTCGGTCTCATCGTTGGTTGTGGAAAACCCCGGTCGTTGGTACACACGGAAGATTCCAGAGATACGCATGTGTACAAATGAGGATTACTAGCAATATCAGTAATTACCTTTCGTGAACATCTACTCGATAACGCGGCACATCGTTCGCGGCACATTGTATTGCGGCACACCTGCTCCTCACCAAGTGAGTGCGGCACGCCCGCATACAGCATCTGGCGAACATTGCACCTGCGTCGTTGACGTAGTCTGATCGTATCTGTATCTTAAGCTAGTAACCTCAATGTACTATAATGCTAACTCTCTGTAATTTCCTGTGTACTGTAACTCAGACATGGCATCCTTCTTTTCTTGCGTCATGCATCCTTGGATGAAAAGCTTCAGTTGGTCACCATGGCATGGTCTGTTGCTGTTGAGTGGCCCTTCTTCGTCGCGTTGTATGTCAACATATGATACCTGCAACTGCTTTCCTTCCCTGAGGTCAAATTTAACCTCAAGAAAAGTCTATCATGAATTAATATCTCCTATGATTTCTCAAATTTTTCAGAATTTGAGAATCGAGGCATTGATTATACTTGAAATGACTGATACGTCTTGTTTTATTAGACAGACTATCTTTGACTTTGGCATAACTAGCCTGAATATTCTCAAAACTGGATAACCATGACTTGACTTTTATATGACTGAATCATCTTTACCTGAACTCTGAAAGCAATCCCGAGACAACTAAATAGTCGCCTCGGAATTGGAAACATGACATTTACTGATTTACTTGACTTGATAAGGTACGACTTCAAGTTTCCAGGTAAATTTGGAGTAATAGTCTGTATTGCAGACCTCCATATTTAACCCGGCTGAACAACTATTATATGTCGACCTTAAATCATGAACATTAACTTTAAATTTTTAACATTGACTCATGACTATGTACTGTATAGGGTTGTTCCAGTATCAACTGGTCCCGCA